CCTCCTCCTCCTCCTCCTCCTCCTCCTCCTCCTCCTCTTCCTGCTCCTTCTTCTTCCTTCTTCCTTCTTCCTTCTTCCTTCTCCATCTCCTCTGCTGAATATTATGTCCCCAATTTAATATCTTCCTTCCTCTTTTTGTCCTTCTTCCTCACCTTCTCCTTCTCCTCCTTCTCCTCTGTTTCTTCCTCTCCCTCCTCCCCTCCCCTCCTCCTCCTCCTGCTCCTCTTCTCCTCCTCCTCCTGCTCCTCCTCCTTCTTCCTTTCTTCCTCCTCCTCCTCTTCCTCCTCCTCTATAGGCAGCATACTTAATGCTCTCATCACCTATTGTCTCCACAAATGCAATTTCACTTTGGTGAATCGGAGCAGCCCAAGGTCACCCAGGGGGTTTCTGTGCCTCCTGGCTTCTAATCCAGCACCTTCATCAGTACACCCGACTAACTTGTGATGGAAGAGATGAAGGACACACACTGACTGACATATACTGAAAAAGATGCATAGAGAATTTTAGCTTTGTGGCAGGGTGGCCTGCCTGGCCTACTGTGTTCTCCCTCAAAGGCTGAGCCCTTTGTCAGTGGGGAACACTTCATCCCCAGAGAGATGATCATAGAGGTGAGCTTTTTCTCCCTCTGGTGACTTCTAGAACAGAAGTGAAGTCGGTACAGGTAGTCCTCACTCAGCAATTGGGAACAACAACTCTTCTCCCTGAGCCTTGCAACAAAGGGCATCACAAGACCACACTGACCGAAAACATTAGTTCGGGCTACTGTTGTTAAGCGAATCCCCCGTGGTCATTAAGCATGACATCACCTAAACATGACTCGTGATTTTCCACTGGTTTCCCCACTGAATTTTCAAATGGGAATGAGGGTGGGAACTGCAATGGCCGCAGCTTTCAGAACTGGTTGTAAATCTCCTTTTTTTTAGCACCGTCATAACTTTGCACGGTCACTCGACAAGCAGCCTGTCAGGTTTCCAAGTGATGAAATCCATTTAAAAAGAAAAGTACAAAGTCCAACTTTCAAAAAGGTTTCCTTTATTTAGGAAAGCATCAAATTGGCAAAGTCCGTGGTAATTCCGGATCTAACACAACCCGGAATTACCCCCACAATATTACAAGTTAGAAACAACCCCCAAAAGTCACATTCTTGTTGCTTGATGTCATAAATCTCCACATCAAGGGGCCCAAGCACCAACAGCTCGTTTCCCATGGGAAGAAGAATCACCTAGCCTAAACAACTCTCTTTATCTCCACTTCTGCCCCCTTAGGAATGTGTCAAGCCCGAAACCCTTCCCCCATGACTGGCACAGAGAAAGTAAGAAAAAGAATATATACTAAGACTAACTAAAATGGCTACACTTATGTCAATTTCGGGCTTGAAACAGTCGGACGGTGGGAGGCTTGGATAGATACATGGATTCCCCTCCCTGAATTTGCAAGAAGGATTGCCCCTGGACAAAAAACAGCCAGCTCTTCCTTCCTGGTGCTGTTATCCTTTTGGAACAATGTCCCCTTCATTTACAATAAGACTTTGTGTGTGTGTGTGTGTGTATCTCTCTCTCTCTCTCTCTCTCTCTCTGTGTGTGTGTGTGTGTGTGTGTGTGTGTGTGTGTGTATGCACAGGCGCTTGGAGTGGTGGGTCTCTGCCCATTTTGGGCTGTGAGATCACCAATTGCTGGTAAGTATCCTGCAAATCAATGGTGGGATCCCAAATTTTTTTCTTCTGGTTCTTTGGGCGTGGCTTGGTGGGCATGGTGTGGCTTGGTGGGCACGGCAGGGGAATGATACTGTAAAATCTCCATTGCCTCCCCACAAACTAACCTGCTTTCCAGCTCTGTTCTTCTGTGCAGGGCAACCAAAGAAGACCCAGCCGATCAGCTGGGACTCAATGGGAGGCAAGGAATAGATGGGGTTGGCGGGGCCAGTCAGAGGTGGGATTTGCTGGTTCTCCGAACTACTCAAAATTTCTGCTACAGGTTCTCCAGAACTGGTCAGAACTTGCCGAATACCACCTCTGCTGCAAATGATCCAATGGTTGGATTATCAAGTGAAAATATTATGAATCACAGGTCTCTGGAGATTCTCAGTCATCGAGGCCATGGTTATCCCAAGGTGTTTTTTTCAAAAGACAACTGGACTTTGTTGTTGTTGTTGTTTTCCTTGAAGAGGTTTTGCTTCTCATCCAAGAACCTTCTCCTGTTCATAACTTCTTTCAACAGAATTGAAGAAGCTTCTTGGATGAGAAGTGAAATGTTTTCAAGGTGTGATGACCCGGAGTGTAACACAAACGTAACAAAATCCAAAACGTAAATAAATGACCTTTAATGCCTCCAACTTGGCTCCACTTATTGGCTTCAATAATTCTCAGCTGGAGATAAAACGTATTCAAAAATAGTCTTCAAAAGAAAGCAATATAGTCTGAATTTAATGAGCAGATAGAGGTGAAATAAAAAACCAAAGAAACTACAATGACAAAATGTCCACAACAGATCAGGATAAGTAATTACCAAATTCAAGGAGATAACAAGGCACAGTCTGTTGGAAGGATGCCAACCAAGATAACTTCAGCCCAAAATAACACATGCTTTGCTTCTGACAATGTTGCATTGTAATCGTCTCTCTTATATACTAGTCTCGCCAGCTGCAGTCATTGAGGAGGATCATGGCCGCTTCCTCTCCCGTAAGCCACATTGTTCCTTTCTCTGTTCCTCCCTTCATGTCCTAGGATGCAGAGGGGATGGGCCTGGTTCTTCCTCTGACTGCCCAGCTGGCCTCTGCCCTTCCTCAGCCTCCTCCACAACCTCGGGAGCCCCACCTCCATTCCCTGTCGACTGTTCCTCCTCTCCCTCAGAGTCCAACTCTACCAAGGGCATAACACAAGGGGTGAAAAAACCCAGGAAAAAGTCCAGTTGCCTTTTGGAAATAAAGCACCTTTGGGATATGAATCCAGATGATTGCAGATCGTGGTGATGGCAAAGCCCGTTGTGCCTTCAGGGGAGGGAGTAAAGTAAAGAGAAGAGAAGCGTAACTGAGATCATCCCTGCACACCTGAATCCTTTCCCTCCAAAAGGAGATGCCTGAAGTTTGACAGGTTGAAGCAGGCACCATCGCTTTTTAATTTTGGCTAAAAATCAAGAATCTGGTCACACCTTCTCCATCTGGCAAATGTAATTGAAAGGCATGAGCTGCAGGTCGCTGGATCAGTCCGCTGCGCTCAAGATATGGAGTGGTGGCCCTCAGGATGTTGCTATCAGCACAACATGTTTGCTTATTCTTGTCAAGTGGGAATGGCTGGCTTTTAACCTATTAGCTTTCCAAACCTGTGTGCGCATACATCTTCTGAATGACAACAAGGAGCTCCCCAGGGAGGAAAAGTGGAAAACAAACCTTCCTAGACAAGACTGTATTGTTGTGTACGCTCCAAAGAAAGAAGACTTAAGTGGCGATAAGACAAACCAATTGTTTTCATTCCCTTTTTCTTCCTCTCTCTCTGGGACACCTTAAAAAGCTGTTGAAGAGCATAAATGAAGTGCTACACATCTGAAGACACCCAAAAGATGAAGGCAAAGGTTCCCCTCGCACATCTGTGATAGTCGTTTCCGGCTCTAGAGGGTGGTGCTCATCTCCATTACAAAGCCACAGAGCCAGCTCTGTCTGAAGACGTCTCCATGGTCATGTGGCTGGCGTGACTAAACACCGAAGGCACACGAAACGCTGTTCCCTTCCCACCAAAGGGCTCCCTATTTTTGTACCTGCATTTTTACATGCTTTTGAACTGCTAGGTTGGCAGAAGCTGGGACCAGTAATGGGAGCTCACTCTGTTACACGGCGCTAGGGATTCGAACCACCGAACTGCCAACCTTTCTGATTGACAAGCTCAGTGTCTTAGCCACTGAGCCACCGCAACCCCTGAAGACTCCATAAGTGGGATCAAATGTTTCGTTTTCTTCTTAATCTTACTATCTTTATATGCAGTTTCCCTAAAATGAAAATCCAGGAATACTTCATTCCCAATGTCATGTATTCTAGATTACAAAGGGATCCAGAAACCTACCATTTCAGGAGATATTTACTCTTTTATTAATAAGTAGCACAGAATCATAGAAACTGAGGGTTGGGAAGAGAACTTGGAGATCTTGTTCCAGACAAATGACTGTTCAACCTTGAAGATCTTCAGTGATGAAGCACCCACAACTCCTGCAGGCAAGCTGTTCCATTGATTTTAAATTGTTCTGACTTGCAGGAAGTTTCTTGTTAGTTCCAGGTTGGATCTCTCTCTGATGAATTTCCATCTATTGCTTCTTGTCCTGCCCTCAGGTGCTTTGAAGAATAAGTTGACTCCCTCTTCTTTGCGACAGGAACTCTTGATTATTTGAATCTCACTTGTGTAGGAAAACAGTTGAGAAGAAGAGATTGGACTGTCATTTGTCAGGAATGGTGTAGGGTCTCCCGCTTGGGCTGGAGGTAGGAGTAGATGACCTACAAGGTCCCTTCTAACTCTGTTAATCTGTAACATGTCTTCCTCCTGTCCTGACTGGATGCTTTTCACAGGTACCTGAGGAGCAGCTCTGCGGATAGAAAGCATTTGCTGGATGTCCAGAGTCTTATTGGGCTCTTCAATGTGGTGAAATACAAGCTTTGTAAATTCTGCTCGTGGAAAAAAAGAAAAAATGAAACGATAATAAGCTTGTAAGGATCTTTCAAAAAAAAAACTCTTATCAAAAGTCCTTATTTCTTGCTTTTCTTCACATTCATAAAAGTCGACACAGGGATATCTTGCAATGCAGTTCCAGATCTAGATCTCGAAGCTGTTTTAGAAATCCTCGGTTTGGGGAAATTGCTCGATGCTGCAGAAGCATTTCAAGAGCGTCGGCCAGAGACAAGTTCTGGTAAATCATCAAGTAAGCTAGAACAAGGGCTGGGGATCTGCTTTTGCCTAGAATGCAATGAACCAAGATTTTTCCTGCAAAGGGGAAGAAGGAAGGAAGGAAAAAAAAACCCAATATTAAAAACAGTGATGTTGGTTTTGCTTTAAGATAGCCTTTCCTTGTTGTAAAATATATACAATATATTCCATGATATTAAGAAATATGTTGAGGCTCTAAAAAGAGTGCAAAGGAGAGCAACAAAAATGATTAGGAGACTTATTCCCCAAGAATAAGACCTTGTCTTATAAATTTTTTTTTTGTCACCAAAAAGGCACCAGGTCTTATTTTGGGAGGATGTCATCCACTGACTAACCTCACTTGCGCGCATCGTCCCCGGCCTCCTTTTCGCTGTCAGAAGCCTTCAGGAACTACTTCTTCTATGGCTGGCAAGGCTTTCCTGAAGGCCTCTGCAGCTGATAATAGAGCTCTGGATCGATCCAGAGCTTTGTTATCAGCTACAGAGGCCTTCAGAAAAGCCTTGCCAGTCTTGCTGGCTGCGGAAGAAATGGGCCGGCAAGGCAGGTGTCGGGGTGTGCAAAGACCTGGCTACAACCGTCCAAAGGTAAGTAGTATGACAGCTCCACCCCCAATCCCCCCCCCCCCACAGCTTAATCTTTACCCATGGGTGGGATTTTAATTCAGGTTACTTTGGGGGTAGGGCTTATATTGGGTGCACATGTAAAATTCAAGCTAGGACTTACTTTTGGTAGGTCGTATTTTTGGGGAAACTGGGTATAAAGAACATTTACAGGAACCGGGTTTGCCTAGTTTAATAAAAAGAAGGAGTGGGAGGACATGATAGCAGTCTTCCAATATCTGAGGGGCTGCCCCAGAGAAGAGGGAGTCAACCTATTCTCTAAAGCACCAGAAGGCAAGACAAGAAGCAACAGATGGAAACTAATCAAGAAGAGAAGCAACTTAGAAATCAGGGGAAGTTTCCTGACAATGAGGACAATTAACCAGTGGAACAGCTTGCCTCCAGAAGTTGTGGGTGCTTCATCACTGGAGGTTTTTAAGAAGAGACTGGACAGCTACTTGTCTGAAATGGTGTAGGGTCTTCTGCTTGAGCAAGGGGTTGGACTGGAAGACCTCCAAGATCCCATCCATTATTTTGTTATTCTGTTGTGTTAGATTTCATTAGATACCAACATTTCCATCCAACATGGCTAATAACACCATCTCTGCAACCATTTTTTTGATACAGAATCTCAGTCTGCTAATCAAGAATTTTAGTCCTGAGATGGAGCTTTATGTGGACAACAGGTTTCTGGAGTTAGAGAGACAACATGGGGTAAGTATTATTGCTTCAAATTCTAGACGTAGCTTAAGATTTCTACATGAAAGGATGACTTCAGTCTTGGCTGTTTCTGTAAAGCACTGTTTCTCAATCTTGTACTATGTTGGCTGGGGAATTCTGGAATTTCACATTGCTGTAAAGCAAGGGTCTTCAAACTTTACAGCTTTGAGACTTGAGGACTTCAACTCCCAGAATTCCTCCTCCAGTCATGTTAGTTCAGGGATTCTGGGAGTTGAAGTCCACAAGTCTTAAACTTGCCAAGTTGGAAGACCCTTCATATAGATGATAGATAGATAGATAGATAGATGGATGGATGGATGGATGGATGGATGGATGGATGGATGGATGATAGATAGATAGACAGACAGACAGACAGAGAAAGATGATTTATGATATATAAATTGATAGCTTTAAGGCTTGTGGACTGCAACTCCCAGAATTCCTCCTCCAGTCATGTTAGCTCAGGAATTCTAGGAGTTGAAGTCCACAAGTCTTAAACTTGCCAAGTTTGAAAACCCCCTGCTGTAAAGACTGAGACTCACCTTTCGGGGCTCTTAGTGCTTGGTGGATGTATTCTGAGGCCGGATGAAAATAGACAGTTAAGTCAAAATCTACGTCATCTTCTGCTGCTATGCCATAGTAAGAGATTTCTGATCCATAGAAAGTCTGATTTCCATTGCTCCCCCAAGCACCGTGTGCTGCGTTCAGTATGTGGGTGATGCCATATCTTCTCAGCTCCTCCTTGTTGTGCGCTGTGACCCTGCACAGACACAGGTGTGTAAATTGGCAGGACAATGTAGGAGAGGATTAGGGTGCGAATGCCAAGTCACCTCCCATTATCCAAGTTGCTTTCATATTTATAATTTTTATATTTTCCTTGGCATATCCAATAGTCGCTTCGCACATCAGCATCTTGCTTTTTATACAGATCCATTTTTCCTTATTTCCTCATATAAAATATCATAAAACATTTCCTTTGCTGATGTTTGACAGTGCTGCTGTACAATTCAACTTGGGCTACATTCAAGGCAGAGACATCTATTAATGTATCCCAACTTTTTCTCTCTCGTCTCATTCCCATCCATTCTTTCATGTCCATATGCAGAATAATGTTTTCCCTGGGTTGCATTCATTCAAAATATTTTTTTCCACCCAAAACTCATCCATGTTCCCTGGAGAGAAATGCAATTGTCACCCGTCATTAAATCCCTATTTTTGTCATGTATCCACAACATTAGTGATGGCACAATTTATATTTTCTTACAGTCGTTTTGGTAATTAAGACTAAAGCTTCTGTTTCCTGCATTCATGAACCCTTTGTGAAAAAATTTTTGAGTTTCACAAGCAACCAAGACACACATTTTTATTTTGCATTGTTAATATTTTTTACAATTTAATCTTCAAACACTTCGGGTTGCAATCTTCCATACTTCCAGATGGACTCAGCTATTGAGTCCCGAAATGGGCAGTAGGAATGACCTCGAGGAAAAGAAGGAAGAGTTGCAAAAAGACAACGTCAGATAAAAAGAAATCTAAGGCCAAAGCAGAAATTCAATTTGAGAACACACCCCAGACAAGTATAACATACAGAACATGCAATAGAAGGTACAAATTCAATTGAGCGCCATGACATATTTTAGAGACAGTTGCAGCTGATGGAACATTATTGTCTCTGCTGATTTCTTGCTTGGTAATCTAAATAGAAAGAATTTTTTTTATTTTATTTTTATTAAAAATTAATTCCAACCTTCTGAAAGAGAGCTAAACAAAAGTGTGTATTTATCCTTCAACAGCAGGTTTTTTTTTTTCCCATCGGGCACTTAATGTTTTTGCATTGCAAAAGAGTTTCCTCTATAAATACTGCTTTAGCCCAATTAATCAATACTTTCCTTCAAGATAATACTTACATGTTACCTATATAAATTTGGGGCCACACTTCATCTAGCGCATTTGATTCCAACTTACACTTGTCTATACGACATTCCAGTTCTTTCACGGAAGGTATGTTGGATCTGATGGTGTCCATTTGCAGAAGCAAGTAAGCTGTCTAGCAAGTGATTTTTGCACAGTTTGTTTATATCCTATCACGGCAGGACCTTGCTGTGTTGAGTGCCAGCTACTTTTTGACGTCTGACAGCGGGAAGCAGGTGCGCATCTCAAAATGTCTCACTGATCTCTCTGCACACTTCCTTTATTTCTTCTTTTCTTTTTCCTGCACAAGGCTCTCTTCCTCCCCCGCTTTTTATTAAGTATTCCATCAGTCCACATCAATTCCCAGTGAAGTAACATACAAAAATAAAACATTCTGCAAACATTGCAAACTTTATCAGACAAAAAAAAGCAATATCTGCAACTGAGCTAAAATAATAATTTTGGTACATTTATTGTACCGATTGACTGAACGCCTGCATGGTACGCTTCTTCTTTTAAAAATGTGTGTATTCTGTTTTTTGTTTTTTTTTATTTGTTCGTTTTATTTCTTAGTTGAAGGTCCAACTTTTGTAATTGTTTCAGGAAACCTCGATTCGGGAAGATCCACCGGTGTTCTTTTACTGTCTGTATCGCTTTAACCAACGAGAAATGATGGTAGATCATAAGGTATGCCAGCACCAAAGAGGAAGACCTGCTTATCCCAAAAGCACAGTGGACGAAGATTTTGCCTGGGAATAAAAGCAAGAGGTCGGTGTTGGGTTCCAGAAATTTCAGCTGACGCAAAATGCAGGGGTGCAAGCAGTTATGTGTGTTTCTGGTAGAGCAGCCATAAAGTTTCTAAGTCCAATTCAAAGTGCTGGTATTAACTTTTAAAGCTCTTCAATGCACAGAATCAGTTATTTGAGGGATTCCTCCCCTTTCCCAATTTTATCTGCCCAGGTTCCATCGCCTATAGAGTTCCATCGCCTATAGAGCTACATATGGTGGTCCCTAAGGGGGCCCTTTTCTTCCATGGCATCTATATTGTGAAATCTCCTCCCTCCCCGGAGATAATGTTGGCCTCATCACTCCTGAGCTTCTGAAGGTCCTTCAAGACCTGGTTATTAAGCCTGGGGGACCCCACCAGGAGACAGCTGAACTCATGAAGTGGCTCCCTTATTATTAACATCCCTCCCTTATTTTTCTCCCATCTCTGCGTTTATAATTTAACAGATTAACAGAGTTGGAAGGGACCTTGTAGGTCATCTAGTCCAACCCCCCCACCCAAGCAGGAGACCCTACACCATTCCTGACAGATGGCAGTCCAGTCTCTTCTTGAAAGCCCCTAGTGATGAAGCTCCTACAACTTCCATTGGTTGATTGTTCTCACTGTCAGAAAATTTCTCCTTATTTCTAATTCTGTTTAATAATCATTATACAATGGGATTGTTTTATACATTGACCCTTTTTACAGGAATGTTGTATGCCGCCCAGGGTCACTTTTCATGAGATGGGCAGCCATATACATTTGATTAATTAATAAATAAAAATAAAATAAACTTTATATATGGCATTTTAAAAAAAAGCACAAAGGAAAGCAAAGGCTTCTGGCCAAAAAAAGGTTTGGTCATCTTGAGGGCACGTCGTGGATACCATCACAAAATGGCTGCCACAGAGGACCTGCTAATTCACAGAACCACCCACTCACTGGACTAGATGCAATTGCTTCCCACCAGCCTTTCAGGGTTGTGTTGCCCGGGCCTATCTAAGATAGCTACAATTTGCCTGGATGGAGAGTTCTGCAGAAGTGGTGGGATGCCTCTCAGTGAGGGAAGATCTAGCTCTTCTCACAGGCCCACTATGATTTTGGGAGTCCAGGATGACCAGGCCATCAGAAAGCCATGAAGCCAGGCAACATGGCCACTTGGCTTGAAAGCATTTATCAAGGAGATGACCAGGCTGAGCCTGAGGGAGTCGTCAAACGTGTCATAAGTCACGAGTCCCTGCGAGCCTATAAGAGATCTAAGTCCACCCCACTTTGAATGCCTTTCTTATCTCCCGCTCATTTCCTTTGGCTGTTAGTTGGCCAGATTCTTGTAGAGAGCTTAAGCTTGCAATAAATCTTCACACTCATTCGAGCTGCCTGAATGTCCTGATTTCCCCGGCACTTGACAAAAACAGGTTGCGGGGAAGATTCATGAAAACTCAGTGGGATGATCTTTCTTCCTTAACTTCAGATATTTTGTTTGTTTAATAATCTTGAACAAATGTCCAAGTAAATGCTCAGTCACAAGCTTGATAACAGCCGCCATGTTTTTCATACCTCCGGGTGTAGTCAAAGCCTTGTGTATAAACTCCGCAGAAGAGTAAAAATAGAGGCTTAGATCAAAATTGGGAAGATCGTGAGCTGGCACGCCATGGTATTCAATCGTTGTACCATAAAAATCATGCGACTCTTGGCAAAATAGAGTGCCATGGGCTGCATTCAAAACGTGGCTAATCCCCATTTTCCATAAGTCAAATCTGCTATGTGCTGTGACGCTGGAGAAAAGACACCGAGATATCTAGTGTCAGGAAAAGGTACAGGTGGTCTTTGACGTACAACAGTTCATTTAGTGACCATTCAAAGTTACCGCGGCACTGAAAAAAGTGACTTATGACCCTTTTCTGTTGTTACGACCATTGCAGCATCAAAATTCAGAAGCTTGGCAATTGGTTCATACTTACGACCGTTGCTGTGTCCCAAGGTTGCGGGATTCCCCTTTTGTGACTTTCTGATAAGTAAGGTCAATGGGGAAGCCAGATTCGCTTAACAACCAGCTTCCTAACTTGTCGGCTGCAGCGATTCACTTAACAACGGAGGCAAGGAAGGCCATAAAATGAGACAGCTAACTCACCTAACAAATGTCTCACTTAACAACAGAAATTCTGGGGCTCAATTGTGGTTGTTAAATCGGGGATCACCTGTATTTAGCTCTTTCTCCCCCCCCCATCCCTAAAATTTAAATCAATTCACTTTTCAGAAGGGGAAATATCTCATAGGGAGTAAAGGCAGTGGTGGGATTCAAAAATTTTTACTACTGGTTCTGTGAGTGTGGCTTGGTGGGCGTGGCATGGCTTGGTGGGCATGGCAGGGTAAGGATACTGTAAAATCCCTGTTCCCGCCCCACCCCACTAACCTGCTTTCCAGCTCTGTTCTCCTGGACAGGGCAACAAAAAAAGACCCAGCCAATCAGCTGGGACTTGGGAGGCGGATAATAGATGGGGCAGGGCCAGTCAGAAGTGGCATTGGCCGCTTCTCTGAACTACTCAAAATTTCTGCTACCGGTTCTTCAGAACCAGTCAGGACCTGCTGAATACCACCTCTGAGTAAAAGCCAATTTCATACCATAAGAAAGGTGTTGACAAGGTGGCAGGGCGATGGTGCAATTGAGGCTTCGCTTGACTCAGAGGAGATTGATCGTGTACACTGGAAGAAGTTAGTGTCTTTTGGCATTTGCTAATCTGCCCCAAACAGGATTTCATAAAACTTTAGGCTCCAGTTACCACTGCTCTCATGGCTTTTACAGACAGAGATATAACTCTGCATAACTATTACAGCTGTTAATCACATGTCCACGTTAAGTAATCTTTGGACGCAATTTATTTGGTTGCCATATTTATATAGGAAAAAAGGCTGTTTGGATAGGCTGAAATGCCCTCCTGCAAATACTTACTGATCTCCTAAGAAAAGATTAGGCCAGACTTCGTCAGCGTGGTGGCAGGAAGGGCTCCCAGTATTCAGGAGCTGCTCTAAATCTTGAACACTGGGGCTGTCTTCCGACGGGGGTCCGAGATCTTTCGGGCCCACTGAAGCGCTCTCGTCAGCCATTTGAAGCAGCAGCTTGACAATCTGACACCTGAGAATGCAACCCAGGCTCGCTGGTTTACTTTGCTCCAGCGCAGATCACTTGTTATTTTGAAAGTGGAACAGTGCCAGGAGTTGCACATCAACAAAGCATGGGTCTAATTGAACGAACGAAGGTCTGCTGTCAACGCTCCCTAAAACTGCCATTCAATGACAGCTGTGGTGGAAGCATAAAGTCTAACAAATGGAAGAATAATTGTAGTGTGGCATTCTTTCTGGCAGGAAAAACATGCCCGTGACTTGCATTTTCCTCCCATTCAGCCACCTCCGCTGATCCAAGGAGAAGGAGAAACTGGACAGCGCTCAACCAGATCTGAAGCAACCAATATTGTTGTGGTTCGCCGGCAGCAGGTGCCGACGGCTAAGGTCTCAGAGAGCAAGGACTCAGATGAGGGGCCTGTGTGTGATGCAGGGATGGGGCCAGGATCATCAGGGAGTGGAGTGCTGCCTTTGGGGATTGTGGAGGCTGGCAGCAGTGATGAAGAGGTCCCTGAGGAGCCTGTGCCCAGCGCGCATGCGCACAGGGCTGCTCGTAGGAAAGAGCAGCTGCAGCAGCACGGGCGACTCGGGAGTAAGGCCGCAAGGTGATGGCCCCTCCTTTAAGAGATAAAAGCCAGCCTGAGAGACCGGGATTCTTTGCAGGAAGCAAAGTTCTTGCACTTCAAGCCTTGTGGATTGTGGAAGTTCAGACTATCTTGGTTTGTGTTTGTAGACTTTTTGTTTGGAATATTTCTTGGCAATTTAATCTAGTGCTTTTGGCAGCCTTGCACAACCTTGGCAAGGCTCGTTCTTATCTGAGACAATTAGTTTTAATAGCCTTTTAACCGTGAATTAACATAATTTGCAGAGAAGCATTAAAAGGTTTTGCTTTTATCTGTTTGTTTACTTAGAACAAGGTTTGGGTCAGAACAAATATTGGAAATACAACTGGGGGCTGGTTGGTAATATTGAGACTGTGGGAAGGTCCCGCAGTCATTTTGTGACAAAATGTCCCCTCAGGAGGTTCCAGGGATCCATGCAAGAACTACATCATCTTGAGGGCAGTGCTGTCCAATGGCTAAATGATCTAGATATCCGGCTATAGCCATTCTAGTAACTGCTTATACATAATTTTCATTCATTCTTTGTATTGTGCATTTTAAAACTAATTCACTGTTCTGGTGTTTTATATATTTTTACACATTCTATACGCTGTTTTTGTGTGTGAATTTTATGTATTAATGCTAT